TAATTAATATCTTTTTCGATAACAACCGAGTCTAGTCCTTCATGATGAAGTATGTATATCATAACGTTACGTCCTATATTCGTATATCGAGGTATACATCCTCGAAGGTAGCTATAACAGAGCGTGAAAGAAGCGAAAGAGAGAAGAAGATAGATAGATACACATACATAGTGACGCATACAGATGAAGTTGCTTCTTAGATGTATATGAAATCTCAAGAGTCAGATACTATCCTTACCTATGGTTAGATTTTACGTGGCTACTTGCATAATTCACTAGATGACACATAGAAAATATTGGGCAAGGATATACCTATATACATATCTATCTATACATATATATATATATATATATATATATATATGTATGTATATATAGTGTATGTATATAGTTGGCCAGGAAAAAGAGCAAACCAGTGAATCCCAAGAATTTTTATGGATCTCCTTTTCGGCATGGAAGCTACCGTATCCATGAAATCCTCTCTTTAAAAATAGAATAAGAGACCAACGAGAAATCGCTTTTAGAATTTGTAGAAGGCTCTCATCGAAGTTAACCAGCGAGTCGAATAAGAAATGTTTGCGTTTGAAATCGTAAATCGTAAATGAGAAAATGTTACGTTTATAAATGTAGACGTGGATTTAATAAAATAAAAAAATAAAAAGAAAGTAATTTCCTGATATTATAACAATTATAAAATAATTACGTTCATATGCTTCTGCATTTTGTCCTAGGGAATCGTCGTTTGTTCAGAGATTTTTCCCCGTTTTTGTAAAATTCTGCCACGGGAAACAACACAAGACGGTCTAACAAGGAAGTTGAAAACTTTTTCTTTTTCTTTTTTTGTTTTCTTTTCATTCTTCCACTACCTCATTCCATGGGACTGTCTAGAACTCGGCAAGACAATTTTATATATTCCAGGAGATTTATTCAGTGGACCTGGTATGCTCGATGGACCAGGTGAAACCGTGAATATGAAAAATAGGAACTTATATATGTATGTACATACGTACACCCTTATGCATATACATACATATATATATATATATATATATATGTAAATATATCGTTTATATATACTAGATATATATTATATATATGTTTGAGAAAAGCGAAAAGGAGCCCGTTTAAATAAGAAACGGCTTTCTCTCGAGGGAAAGGCCCAGCTCGAATCTTTATATTCTATTGTGTGTCTTGGCAACTTTGACCAACGGAGACAGCGTACAACATTATTTTCTTTCTTTCGAGCTCATCCTCCGTTTGTCGACGTCCTCGACACCGAAAAATTTTTTCTATATCTCAAACGCATTTTTTATTAAAGTTGAATCGAACGCAACTAGCTTTATTCATATTACATTTCTTTGAATTGTACGAGCTAAAAATTATTTTTTATCGATGGAACTTAATCATTAGTCCTTTAAAAAATAATTTTCCTATTCAATTCACATTTTAAGCAAACTTGTCATTTACACGTTTTCTTATGTAATTAAAAATACTACATTGTAAAAATACAACTGTTATAAAAATATATGAGCCATCTAAAACGTCTACTCTTAAAACTAAAACTGCAGGAGAAACGTATCTTTGATTTCTGAAATAATAACCTGCATAGACGTTACAAATCCAATACCTTTCCGTTCAACAGTCTCATCTAAAATGGCTCTTGATCGCACGGATATTCGTACCCGATGTTGCCGATACGATATAGCTACAAGGTATACTGTTTTTCATTCTTTTTATTGCCAATAACTCGACATCGAACAGCAGGTCCGATATAATGGATAACATATACCTACCCTATGCTCGCAAACGTTTACGTGTTTGGTAAAATACGATAATTGATCGCTGATAGCAAAAAAACATCTTTTCTGACCTACGTCATATGATATACATAGTTATCAATCGTTTACAAGAAAAATATTTTCCTTCAAAATGTTTCCTTTTTTTCTTTTAAAGCCCTTTAAATTCGAATTACTACCATTGCAGGAAATTTAAAAGGAATGATCGTGAAATGTTGTCAAAACTTAATCGTCAGCGAATAAACGCCGAATGTACGTAGATATCGTAGAAAGAGAACAGCAACAAAATCATTTCGAAAGAGATCGGTTGTCCAATCTCATCTGGTGCGTTCTACGCGATCATAGAAGCGTCGAGAAGCTCTTGGAACGATCGCATAGAAATGGGGTATCGAATCGTTGGGGTGGATTTCTCGATTACCCGAAGTCACTGACTTTTATTGCTACTCGAGTCTACCACTCGAATGGAAGCCGACGTCTTCCTCTTCCTCCTCCTTCTCTTCTTCTACTTCTTCTTCTTTTTCTTCTTCTTCCTTTTTCCTTCCATTCCCTTACTTCTGTCGTTTCTTTTCTCTTCGACCGCGGCATACTCTCGGGTCACTTTGTCGTCCCTTCCTCTAAATCACCGCACAGTGCCTTTTTTTATGGCACCTATGTCGCCTTCGAATTCGACCGTAGCACGAATAATGCCTTGGTGAATATTGCTCGTAGACAAAATCGCTCGGGATGAATCTTGACATCTTCATCATCTTGAGAAAGAAAGGAATTTTAAAAAGTATCGATGTACACGTATCACCTATATATCATGAAGAAATATCTACTTGTCAAGAAGAACAAAGAATTATTTTCTAGAACGTTATAAATATGACATGAATAATAAAAGAAATATAACAATTTTGTATCATTAAATTCATATCAGTAAGAATCATATTATCAATATGAACGCCAAATAATATACTCGATATAATTTTAAACAATATTCTGTAAAAATGAAAAAATAGATATCAGACTGGGAAACAAAAGACATAACTTAAATAAAACGAAAGATGGGCTTTATAGGGACGATTTCATTTTAAATTTCAAAAAAGAAGTTTTCCAGGGCAAACGGGAGTGACAAGGCAAAGCGTTATACACTGCCCTCGGAGCATTGTCGGCGGTATAATGTCTTCCTTCCCGCGTTCGTCCTCGTCGTCCACGCGGCAGTCCGTACATTCCCGAGAGGGTCCTACATCCAACAGGATGATAAATAAATTAGCCACGGAAATGTTGCAAGTTATTACCGGCTAGACCATATATACATACGTACAACGTACGAACTCGCCCTGTCCATTCGTAGGATAGAGAAACGTTCACGTCACTTGTAGTTTACTTGTTCTACGGTTCCTCGCCTTGGAAAAGCTCGTTATCTAATTTCTCGAGTCGTGCCAAAAAAGAAAAAAGAAAAAGAAAAAAGAAAACAAACGGAAGGAAAGAAAGTTCTGTTGCTCGTACCGCGCTTCATTAGCCACGGTAAAAAACGTCAGTAGGTTCTTCTAACGTAAGAAGAAGTATTATAACGAAGGAACGTGAAATTATATTGTTACACTATGTCCAAGAAAAAGAGAAAATTTCCTCAAGTCATCTTACTTTTCTTACGAGTAAAACATTTTTCTGAATTTCTCTTAACATTTTTAAAAGAATTAAATTGACTATAAAAGAAATATAATTTGCAATATCTGATCAATAAGTATCTGGACTCCTTAATATGTCCGATCAGTACAGATCTCGACTACTAACAGTTACCATCTTGATATGTAGTTACACTTTCTATCGATCGGTGACGCTGCCGTAGCTTATCGCGAAAGTAACGCCGTGAAGTGATACCAACTGTCTAACCTCAAATTTAATTGATCGATCGATCGTGTAAACTTTTTTTTACATGTTATAAACAAAAAAATATGCTTCCAATGTTATCAGAGTTTAATAACTTATTTGAATGTAATTTTTTCGAAAATATAATAATTCTTTTATATATTATTATAAATTAATATTGTACATAATTAATAAAAAATAAATTTTGTATTAGGAATAATTGATTCGATTAGTACTAACAAATAATTTTTATATACATACATATGTATAATTTTTAACGAAAATATTATAGACAAAAAAATAAAGAGAAAAAATATTACATATTCACTCTAGACTATTTGTTTTGTATATAAAATTAAAAATATTATTTATTATTTATTTTTATTCCATAATCATAATAGACAGATCCATTAGTGTGAAATCATTTTAACGGGTCTTTGAATCTATCTTTCTATTATACCATTTCTTTGCTAGATAAGTAAGCTTTATCAAGTAATATGACGTAATCGGCACGTTCTTACCGTATACGTAGGCACGTAGTCGAGCGTGCCACACATACGATCGAATGTGTTCCTGCGTTCTTATTGATGTGACACACCATGTGTGACGTCATTCTTCTAATTAACGTCGTAATATCGCTTTAAAAATATTTAACATCAAAAAGATCGATTAGAATCGTATCTTTGTCCTGTAATAATTGTCATATAATCATCCTGTATTTAGAATTTTTTTTTTTTTTTTTTTTTTTTTTTTATAATAAATATCAACAAATTTATCATAATTATCGTTCAAAAGAACGAAACTAAAAATTGAAAATTCATATATTTAATAAGACAAATTTTTTATAAACATACATGAATTAGAAGATATCAATACAAATGATAAAAATACAACGAATTTTTTTAATATAAAAAAAGAAAAGAGAGAGAGAGAGAGAGAGAGAAAGAGAGTCATAATAATATTTCATAATAATACTGATGGACACTTTTCTTTGAAACGCACTATATGTATATGTTTTTTTTTGGGACACGCTATATATTTTTGTATATATAATCTTATAATTCTGTACCAATTAAAATACAAACAAACTTAAAGAATAAATTTTCATCTAAAGAAAAATATAATAATCAGTATATAGATTTATTGAAATGTTAATAATACAATAACATTTCAATATGCTATCAATTTTTATTGGATTTTGTCATCTTCTAAAAAAATATAGGACGTCAATATTATGAACAGCGGCGCGCTAGTAAATAATATTATGTCTAATGAAACGTATGTTTGTTTACATGTTTTAATGCAAATATATCCGTTATCGTCTAATATAAAATGAAAATCATTTCTTGGTCCTGATAGAACAGACGTGCCCACACACAATCACACACCATGACGCGATGCTCGTAAATGCCATTGTGTTTTCGAGAATCGTATAAAGTACGATTTAGCAGAACACTCCCGCGCGACGTTGGTTACTCGGTTACGGCGTCAGTCGCTATTGGACCATCGTAACGTGAATAACTACGCGAGTGAGACCGATTCAAAACACGTAAGTAAAGTAAACGCAAACGATTGAAATTTTTATAAGTTTTACAAGCGAACCTTTCAATATAAATTATCGTTTAAAGATAAAAAGAAACGTAATTTAATAATTTGATATAAATTAATGGATTAAAATTAATAAGTAAATAAATTAATTTTATTTACCATTTTAATATCATTTTTCGTTCAAACAGTAATCGTATTATAATATTATATTTCATATCATATTATATTACACGATTATATATAATATTTGTAATGTTCGCTTTAAATAACTTCACATCCATTTTATATATCTGCGAATTGATTTATAAGAAGTCGACGAACGTGCGTCGTAAGAAATCGACTTTCGCCGCATGTTTTGAAGCCAGAAGCCGTGTCGCCTCTTTCCGCGACTATATCCGAAATATTCTTATACTACCGTCGTACGGCTGACCTGATTTCGCAGTTTTCCTTTGAAATTTAAACTGGATCCGATCACAAGATGCAAGATGTAAAGTGTAAACGTGTTCTATATATAAAAATTATCGTATCGTTATGAATTAATAAAATAAATTAATAAAAATGCATAAATGTATAAATCAAAGCAAAGATATTAACTTTTCGTGTTATAGTATTATATATGTGAGAAATTACTTTTGAATTTTTTATGAATATTTTGTTTAAAATTAATCAAATTGAACGATCATTTCAGAATCAAAAGTTAATGAGAAGAATTCAACAATCTTTTCTCACATCTATTTCTGGAAATACTCGTCACTCTACTCCTATCAATATATATGATTCAATTTTATCTTTTGTCACTGAATAATACCTATTTCAAGAATCGACGATATATAAAATAACTACATATTTTTTTACTACTCGTGATAATTTTGTAATGCTATCGGTAAGAAATGACTCAAAACATTATACTTATAATTATCTCTGAGTCACTTTAATCTATATAAGGATTTTTTTTTACATAAACATGAAAAATTGTTTATTTTTACTAAACACGTATATTTTCCTGTGATACGTGCCGATATATAAATGTGCATAGAGTTTCGTAAGAGCTATATTATAAATAATTGTTAAATCAATTTGAAATGTTCAACTTTTAATATAATTAATATACAACAAAATAAGTTCTTTGTGGAATTAATTAATTGATATTAATCCACACTCAAAATTGTGTGTTTGTGCACTATATCTATAATACACATACAGAGGATGTTATAATATATATATATATATATATATATATATATACAGGATGTTTCGAAACTCAATATACAATCTATGAGTAGAAGTTAAGGAGGTCAAGGCAAACATTTTTTTGATTAAAGGAAAATACCGTTGATGCAGCTCAACTAATGACCAGATATGAAATAATAATGAAATAAACTAGTTACATTGCTCATACAAACGCAAACTTGACAACTGACTAATGGAAATCATTCTATCTGTACGAACTACTATTGCCAATATCGTGAGCAAATATTGGTTGATAACTTTCAAACTCTACGCTGATAATTTAGTCACATAATAGGATAACGACACATCATCGACCTCATGTTGCCGGACAAAAAATGTTTGCCTTGGCCTCTTTAATTAATTCTCATAGTTTGTGTATTGAGTTTCAAAACATTCTGTACATTATACTTGTTTATTAAGAATAAAATAAAAGTATTATTATCTGATCATGTAAAAGAATATATAGAAAGATTTACTAGAACTAATCGGTTAAATAAAATAATAAGACAATAGCTTAATCCGATTTCCAAAAACGAATCGTACTGTCCTTCGTTACTTCCTTATTATTCCTTAAACCTCTCTCGATAAAAGAAACAAAGTCATAGAAAATTTTCACTGATGAAAAACTATTGACGAAAATGACACGTGAAACTAAATGTTTGTCGGTTCTTACACGATTATTTATTTATTTATTTATTGTTACAAAAAATCATTTGCAATATTGATTGTAAGAACCCTAGATATTGGAATTCTTTCTCTTCGTGATCTTTCTTTTTCTACTTTTCGAGGTCACACAAGCAGGTATAACCATCCAAAGGATCAGCCTCGAATATACTGGTTTTGCGTAATACCATCGCCCGACGCTATCTTAAAGGGGAAAGCAAAATTATGCGGGAGAACACAGTCTGATTTAGTCTGATTGATCGAATTATATATACAGGATAGGGCATTAACTTTATCCACCTGAATTATTTTTAATAATTTTATAAAATATTCCATATAAAAATTGTACTATGTAAAAGGAGATTTAATTTGGTGTGAACTATTTTTTCCTAAATAAAGAGGTATTAGTAATTGCAAGATCATTTTCAATTTTTTAAATGGAACAGTATATTTTTGTTATCGTAATGTAATATAAAAAGAAATATCAGTTTTTCTTTTTGTTTCTTTTCTTTTTTTACTTTGAGATGACTTCAAACAAAAAAATTATGTTTAAATTGTAAAATTGTAAAAGTCAATCTTATTCATTTTTATTATTACGATTCATATTTTAACAATTACTTTTACTTCTTCACTACAAGAAAAAGTATCTTGCACTAAATTACGTCCTCTTGTATACATTTTGTAACATTATTAAAAATATTGGAAATAATTTAGGTAGACAAATTTAATCTACCACCCTGTATATAAACAAATTTCAACTGCTTCAAAAAGAAAGAACCTCCCTATGCAAAGATTTAATACGTTTAATTAGATACACACATGCATCGGAGTCAGATTTTATTGGACAAATCTGGTTTTAATAAACCGGCGTTTAATTAAAAAAGTTAGCATTCCTGTAATGCACGGTCTCTGAAGATATATTATGTTTCTTCTTTTTTTCCTTTTTTAAATAATCGGATTCGATAATTAACGCGCGTGTTGCTAATCACGTTAGCGAAGTTAAAGTAACTATATTCATACAATGTATGACTGGTTTTCTGTAGTTTTCATTTAAAAAATAAACTATATTATCATATTATTTGAAATATTATATCGAATTAAATTAAAGATTACAAATTTTCTCTATATTTCGAAGTATTAAAAAATGTCAATATTGATATTCTGCAGTGATATTTTAAGCTAACCCAAATACGAATGAACGATGTTTTATTCGATTCGTTCGTGATTCGCATTGATCACTTGTATTCACAAATACCTCTTTATATGTACGATCTTACGGGCGATTATATGCTTCTCAAAACTCCCACTATATACAAAACATTCCGTGTTGCAAAACAAATTATAAGAAATTGCTTTCAAACAATCCCCATTCAATCAAATAAAAATAAACTTTGTTTATTGTTTGTAATATTAAAGTCATTACATTTTTATCACATTTTAAATTATTATCATTTTAAATTATTATCATTAGCTATAACAAGTATAATAATAATTCATGTAAATCATAATAATTTTCACACTTCTAAATTATGAATATTTTAATAATAAAATATAATCTAAATATAGAACTGTTTCATATCGTGATTGCCATAGAAGTAAAAAAATTCAGTATGACATAACGTTCTAACATCTGACGCATAACATAAGTATGCACAATGCACAATACTACACACATGCATGCATAAATACATATATCGTAGATGTGTACGTACGATCGCTAATTTTTGTTACGTTCTATCCATCGTTGGTGTCTCATGGCCATGGGTGCTTCGTACCACTGACCCAGCTTAAGCATCAGAGTCCAACTTTAATAAAACTCTACTAGCAAATAAAAAATGAATGTATATGTACACATATACCTTATCCCATTCGTTCAGTAAATTTTCACCGAGAAGGAGAAAAAAGAGAAAGAAATATATATGGTATTTTAATTACGTCTTGTTTTTTTATATCCTGAATCTACTCGTTTCAAGAGCCAAGAGAAGAGTATACAAAAAAAAAGAAAAAAAGAAATATTAATAAAGATATTAGTTATTTTTCATATTTATACTATTATCATCAAAGTATCACTTTTCTGAGACATCAAGTATATGAAAAATAAAATATTAACAATCAGTTGTATCGAAATGCGAGACAAACTCATTTCTGTCAAAATATCAATTTATCGGTTATATCGCTTTCCGCCATTACGTAACAACTGTTTTGTTTTATTAGACAAGTTGAATATCTAATAAAAAGATTTATTCATGAGATAAGTCTTTTTGAAAGATGAAAGGTGATCAGAATATCAGGTGAATATAACATCTTCCTTACATATGTACCTTATTCTCGATATTCAGTTCACTTTTTATTTTTCTCGATTGAAATAAGTTTATATACGATCTTAAAATTGATCTTTGATCCGTCACAAGGACACAATCGCCTTGTACCGATCATTACTATTAAAAGAACAGCATGAAAGTATAGGGTTACGTCAGTTAACTTGGCCTAACATCATCTACGCTTCAATTCGATCAACTACGTTTCAATTCGATCAACAACGAATTCGATTATCCTTAAGATTTAATTATCTTGCATGTTATTTATAAAAATCTTATTAAAGATATAAAGTATAAAGTATCTTAACAGCATATAATATTATCACGAATGACCATAAAATGCCACACTTGAGATCACGTCATTTTATTCAACCATAGCATGTTCGTATCGATTCTAAGACTTCTTCTTTTCTCATTTAAAGTTCATAAAAAATTTAATAAGTTTAAGTTCTTCTAAACTTTTGTCCATAAGCAAACTATTCTCCTATTCATATGCTAATATCGATATAATTAATCTTCATGACATTATATTTGTATTCTTTTTTTTTTATATTTTTGATACTGCATTAATGATGTAATGATGTTAAATGGAATTTTATTTAATGATGTTAAATATAATGAAAACCTATTTTTTATATTCGTAAAAAAAAATACATTTCACTATTTTCGATCTGATAATAATACTCAATAAATTATATAACAGCTTTATAAGACGCGGAAAATAAAATTCGTTAAGTATTTTAAAGTCAAATAAAGTAAAATTGCTTAATTGATAAAGGTTTAATATTTTTTATTCAACTGTGTCATTTCTAACGTCATCATAAGGTTTTCTTTTTTTTTTTAAATTATATCGTAATATTTCAAATAACATCGATAATATAATTCATATATTATTTATTTGTTTCAGATAAACAAAAATGGTTAACTTTACAAGGCTTTCAATCATAAAATTATTTGAACTTGTAAGTATAGCTACGACGCTTTGTTACATTTCCAAAGCCTACAAGATATATTAAAATTAGTAAAATTGTAATTATAAATATAGATTCGTTGATATTTTAATTTTGATCATACTTTTCCTATATAAATAAATCGTTATATGATCGATGTTGTGTACGATCGTAATAGAATAATTTCTCCGTTAAATTTACTCTGAGAACCGGAAACTGATAAGCTAACAATAAACCAAACGTTACTGTGTGTGTTAAGATAGATATACATAAAACAACAAATCGTACACGTGCATTGAGAACATCATATTCATTCCCTTGGTAATTCATAAAATTTAATTAATTTATCCTCGAGACAGGAGTCGTTTCGTCCTCTTCAAGCTGATTCACTTTACTAACAGACACTTTTATAGTAACGACTCTAAAGGAAGTTCTCGTTATAAGCATTTGACAATTGACTATTTTACGGTTCATAGTAATATATAGCTATTACAAATCTGAAATTTTGACATACAGTGATTATAAAAAGTATTAATACGACTTATACCTTTTTGTAGAATAACTTTATATAAAAATCGTAACAAATATAACTTGAATTAAATGAAAATAATAAATTTATTAAAGTTCATTCGATAAATTATTTATAAATAATTCGAAAGAATTTAATTTTATTCATCTTCTGAATCATCTTTCTTACGATTTTATGAGCAATATTAAATGTTTATTAAAATGAGAAATCGCTGACGACTTAATGCAAAATCGACATCCATTCTTATACGATACATGCGCGCGCACGTACACACGAACATGCGCACACATACCTACACGAATCATATTGTATTTGCGTCTACATTATTGTCGTATCAATTAATTTGGTAAGAAAAATATCATGAATATAACATTAAAGATGACCCAAGAATACTATACGAAGAGATACGTATATGTATACGTGTTACTTCGCCTATAATTCTCGACTCTATACGATCGTCCATAATGAAAATACTTACCTGTTGCTGCTCGAATAGTCCTGGAAATAGAATGAAGTTCCTAACTAGAGCACAGCAACCGAAACCTAATGTATTATTTACAACTATATCAATGAGGACAATATACTTGTTTTCGATGGCCTCATTTAATCCACATTCTAATTTTTATTTCTATTTTAAAAAAAGAGATCACTGCTTTACCATTCTTTATTAGGAATTAACGCAACTTTCAATGTCACTTTTAGTATTTCAGTAGACTTTTCAATATTCAAATTTTAAGCTTATAGATATTTTTATGACGTTTATATTAAATCATACAAAAAATATAAAATCATTTGAATCTATAATTTCCTTACGCAAATTTTGTTCGAAAAGATATGATAGAAGTAATACCAAATTAATGAATATAATAAATATTATTATTCATCTGTATGATATAAAAGTCTATCATTTTGTATATATTTATACATATATTTACTTTTTTAGATCTTAGTATGTATCCTTATCGGATTGCATTACCACTCTTTTAAGGGGGATTCGGATATAGAGATGATCACAATGGGTACCTTTGGTGGATACCTCATTATTTTAGTCGGCTTGTTTGCTGGCAGTATAATGGGAACTCCAGTTAATCGTCGTGTGGTACGTTAAAAATTGTATCTACAATCTATAAACACGAAGTTCTACTATATTCCTATTTTTTTTTCTTTCTTTCTTTTCTTTTCTTTTTTTCTTTTTTTTTCTTTTTGTTCCTTTTACTTCCATAAACATTTGATTTCAATTAGATCACGTGTGTTTAATCAATGTAAAATAAAAATAAAATATATAATAGAGATGCAACCCGTTCTACACCTATGTAACATTCTTAATAATTAATATTTTATGTTTCTATGTTGTAGGACCTTTTCTTCTCGTTGATTGGTTGTGTATTATTCATAGTTACTGGCGCCTTGAATATCAAATTCTTCGATGAATATATACAGAAAGGCTCATTGCGTGACACAGGCTTAACAAAAGGCTCCATTAGTATCATTCAAGCTGCACTTTTCCTCATTGATTCTTTTCTTACATTTAGAGGGGAAGCTTAACAAACAAAAAACATATTTCAACGCTATCGAAGGACTACATAGTCAGCATTCGATGATGTTAATAAACGTAGGCATATTTCGTTTTTAATCAAGAAGTGTTATCGATGTTACATATACTGCCAAAGACGGCTGACACTCTCTCTTTTTTTATTTTATACATATATATTTATATATATATATATATATATATATATATGTATTAAAAAATCCACGTTTCATAAGAAAACGTTGAGAAACGAAGTTACGCTTATTAAACTCAAATAAAAATAGACTAGAGGTCGGACGAAAAGTATTGAAAGTACAAAAAGGATATAAAGCCCATTTAGTTTTGCTATTATCGATTATTAAACTTTGCTTACCTCGTGAAAGACGATATATATATATATATATATATATATATATATATATCGTATATTACAAAGATATTAAATTATTATATAATATGTAACATCTCTTTACGTAAAAGGTGAAAAATTATTACAATATTAATTTATACACCTTATGATAATCTATACTTTTTATAGAACAAAATTAAAAATTTATATTGTAATATTTATAAGAACATATTTTTAAACAAAGTTTATGAACGTTAATCCCTTTTTAAAGTAAATTTGTTGTCACAAATTACATGTTCGATAATAAATACACCATTCACATTCTACGACACGTACGTCGTTTTACAAAAATTATTCATAATTTTTATACACTTATTATTACTACTCATATAATAAGCCATATATGTATGTTAGCAATTATTTTTTTTTTATTGTATGTATATTTTGTAACGCTATTATCAAAACAATAATAAATTAATGATAATGATTTAAATCGACGAATTTCTAATATTCTACGTACATACGTGTGATAAACAAGTTTGATGAGACAATTAAATGGAAGCAATTAGCTTTAAATCACGAGAAAGAGACTACCGTTGAAAGAGGCGCCTGAAATCTCGATGAGAATATAACGAGTTTCAAAGAGAAAATGGCGACCGATATATCGAAGCGGGAGTTAGTTAATCGAGAATCGCGGGGAGTCGACTGGAGGCCAGTCGATCGTAGATCGTTGCGCGTGTGTGATGTACACTATCGCGTAAGGAGTAACTTTATTTACCAATTTAGAGTGCCGATGTGCGGTGAGAAGCGTTAAATGTTCGTGGAAAATGTCGAATCCCGGCGGTAGCAGGAGGAACGGGGCCATGAAGATTCGTTTGACGAGTGAGTGAAGGACGAGAAAGGGCAAAGCTTATGATACGACGATGTCGTGTACCTCGATAAAGGAGAAGGAGCGTGAAAGTTGGCCGGACGACTTGCACGCGACTCGATCCTTCTTTCTTTTTTCCTACATCATCCTTCCTTCCTTCCTTACTTACTTACTTCCTTCTTACCGTTTTTCTTCTTCCTTCTTTAGTCGTTCGCTCACTTTTAAACTTATCTAGGCACACGTAAGATTTATTACCGTCTTTAATTCTCTCTTACGCGTTTCATTTTCTACCCGATACGAAAATTTAATTTTACTTCGACAAACTGATGAGCTCAGACGCGAGCGCGATCGTGAAATGTCAAAATACTATATCTCGGCTATTCTCTCATTCGTTTTCTCGTCCTCATCTACCCCACCAAAAACTCCTATATCTCGTCACGACGATTTTCATCCTTTTGGTTATGGCAACTCCCTGACAGAGGTCAAGACCCCACGGATAGGCGCGCTCCGGGAGGGCTCCTTCTCGAGGACGTTCGTTTCCGACCGTTCTTTCTATCTCCTCTCAATTTAATTACTTCGCTTACTCTCCCTCATTGCTCTCCCCTCTTATGGATGTAACACCGATTGAAGCGATCTGCAAATTGAAGGGAATTACGATCTTCTTAATGCTACTTCACTATTACCCGCTACTTTTAATCTTTTTCAAAATTATATCCAATTTTAATTTAATTTAATTGTCATTTGTTGTTTCCATTTGTGTCTTTTGTTATATTAATAAAATAAAAGATAATGCTTCAATTGAAATCAAATGGAACGTGTATAAGCATATAATGTATGATATTAGAATGTATTTTCCTATATCGATAAAAAATTCAACAACCATGATATAATACACTGTTTATCAATGCAGTTTAATTGATTCTTTGAACTCTAAGAATCTTTTTTCTTATCATTCATTTATCGCTTTTTTTACAATGTTTTGATATGAAATAATATTTCATGTACTTGTTAATAAATTACTAATACTCATGTACTTGTAATACCATAAAAAATATGGTTCATAATGAAAAACTTTAAAAGAATTTTGACTGCCATTTAAATAATAATTTTCATATATTTTCAGTTTTATGTGCCCGTAATCTTGCCAGAAAAGATCTATTTCGTGAGTATTTGTTATTTTTTTACATTTACTTTATATTTCACAAAGTATTTTGATTAAGATTAGAATCTGTTTTTAGGCCTGCCTGATCCCTTTGCTAAAATAACCGTCGATGGTTCTGGTCAGTGTCATAGTACAGATACTTGCAAGGCTACATTAGCCCCTAAATGGAATCAGCATTATGATTTGTAAATATTTTTTATCCTAAATTCAATTATATTTATCTATCTCTCTATATGTATATTATATAAGAAAAATATATATTTATAGATATATCGGGAAAAATGATGGTATTACAATATCAGTGTGGAATCATAGAAAAATTCATAAGAAACAAGGTGGTGGCTTTCTAGGATGTGTGCGTATATTATCAAACACAATACAAAGATTGAAAGATACTGGTTGTAAGTCCTTTGCATTATTTTGTTTGTTAATATATTAGAACTATCAATAGTACGCGTTTAATAATGTTAGTAACGATAATGTTATTAAAACTAGATTTATCATCTAATTTTAGATCAACGTTTAGACCTTTGCAAAGCTCATTCCGAAGATACAGATGTTGTCAAAGGGCAAATAGTTGTATCTTTGTTATCTAGAGATGGACATAATGGTGCTGTGAGTAACACAGTTGGCCATAATGCTGTAGTTGATGTTCTTGGTGATTTAAGTTGTCCAACTGACTTACCAGATGGATGGGAAGAAAGAAGGACTCGAAGTGGACGATTATATTATATCAATCATTACACCAGAACAACGCAATGGATTCGCCCAAATACTCGGTATTGTAATTATTTTAATCATAAAGAATTGAAATAATTTCTTTTAATAATATACTTTTAATATTCACTATTTTTATTAGGCCTAGCAATGCTATTATACCAACTACACCAGAACCACCACCATTACCTAATTCAGAGCCTACATCTCCCAGTGGCAGTGGTAGTCCACCAAATGTTAGAACAGATAGTCCTACTGTTCTACAAGGCACACCAGAATGGAATGGAGAAGGAGCATCTAGCAGAACTCCTAGTAGAGATAGTTCAGCTCAAAATACTCCTAGAAATACACCAACTCAACAACAAAATAGGAATCAACAAAGTCAACAACACATAAGAAATACTCCACCATCGTCTGCAATAAGAGATCGACGACCTGTACGAAACAATGATGAACAAAATGGAAATCAAAATGCGAACGGGCGTATAGAACGTTCTAATAATGGTCAACCACGAAGGCCTAATCGAAGCAACAGAAATAGGAATAATGCAGTACTCAGTGCTGAAAGAAGAAACGAACCTCTTCAACCTATGGATTTACCACGAGGATATGGTAAATTAAATTAGTATTTAATTTAAAATTAAACGAAAAATCAATTTGTCTTATTACATATATTTAAGAAATATAAATATGCAATATTGTTTATAGAAATGAGGAAAACCCAACAAGGACAAGTATATTTTTATCACGTTCCAACTGGAACATCAACATGGCATGATCCCCGAATACCACGTGATTTACCAGCCAATGAATTGGCAAGTGAACTTGGACCATTACCCAGTGGATGGGAAATGAGACAGACTCAAAGCGGACGTGTATATTTTGTAGATCATAATAACAGAACAACACAGTTTACAGATCCTCGGCTCTCTAGCCAAATCATAAGTAACCTGTTAAAGTAAGTTTTTTATATTATAAGTTTTTTTATATTTATATACAACAGAACAGTTATATAAATAAATTATGAATTAACGAGATTTGATGTTTGAATTAATAGTATAATACGAAAATATAAACTGTTGATATATCTATTTTATTATCAGTAGGAGGCAAAACAACAGCACAAATAATCAGGTTTCTGGAAATCCTAGTAATTCACCTACAACAGCAAGTGAATCAGTAGCAGTGGATACTCTTGTACCATCTGTACCTCAATCTTCCACTAATCAGCAAAGGCCAAGAATTGAAAATGGAAGCAATAATAATTCACCAACATGTAAGTTTAAATGATGAATTAATTATTTCATTTATTTTATTTACTTATTTTTTTTTTTAGTGGAAACCTCAACACCGCAAACGCAGACTGTATCAGATTTGCCAAAAGAACTTATGGAAAGTGAACTTCTTCCAAAATATAAGCGAGATTTGGTAGCTAAATTAAAATGTCTAAGAGCAGAATTAAATGCACTCCAACCACAAAGTGGACACTGTAGATTGGAAGTATCAAGAAATGAAATATTTGAGGTAAATAGAATGTTATTTTCACAATGTGAGATATTTATAAAATTGTTTAATAATATCTATATAAAGTTACTTCTGTCTCTTTTAGGAATCTTACAGACTGATTATGAAAATGCGTCCAAAAGACATGCGTAAAAGACTTATGGTTAAATTTAGAGGGGAAGAAGGTCTTGATTATGGTGGAGTAGCACGAGAATGGTTATATTTGTTATCACATGAAATGTTAAATCCTCAATATGGACTGTTTCAGTATTCAAGAGATGACAATTATACATTACAAATAAATCCAGATTCAGGGATAAATCCCGAACATTTATCATACTTTCATTTTGCTGGTAGAATTATAGGAATAGCAGTTTTTCACGGACATCATATAGATGGTGGTTTTACCACTCCATTCTATAAGATGCTATTAAATAAAGCTATTACTCTCAGCGATATAGAAGGAGTTGATCCTGAATTGCATAGAAGTCTTACATGGATGTTGTAAGTAATCAATTATATTATTTTGTAAAGTAATATTCTGATATTTTTTTTTATGTTAATAGAGAAAATAGCATAGATGGTGTCTTGGATGCTACATTTTCTGTCGAACATAGCAGTTTTGGGGTCTTGAAAAATCATGAATTAAAACCTGGTGGAAAAGATATACAAGTCACAGAAGAAAATAAAAGGGAATATGTTCGATTATATGTAAATTATCGATTTATGCGTGGAATCGAACAACAATTTTTAGCATTACAAAAAGGGTTTCATGAGTTGATTCCCCCACCATTATTAAGGCCATTCGACGAACGCGAATTGGAATTAGTTATTGGAGGTTTAGGTACTATTGATATAAATGATTGGAAACTGCATACAAGGTTAAAACATTGTACACCCGAAACACCTGTAGTAAAATGGTTTTGGCAGATAGTAGAATCTTATGGAGAAGAAATGAGAGCAAGATTGCTTCAATTTGTTACTGGCAGTTCGCGAGTTCCATTACAAGGATTTAAGGCTTTACAAGGTAATACTCGATTACATGTTAAAAAAAAAATAAAAAAATGTTATTACAATGAATTGTTTTTTCTGTTAAAATAAAGGCTCAACAGGAGCTTCAGGTCCACGTCTTTTCACAATTCATGCTGTAGATGCACCTAGTGAAAATTTGCCAAAAGCACATACTTGTTTTAATAGGATAGATATTCCACAAAGCTATCCGAGTTATCAGAAAATGTTGGATAAACTTACACAAGCTGTTGAAGAAACTTGTGGATTTGCTGTTGAATAATAAGGTATGTGTATTTGTTATACACTTCCAAATCATCAAAACATTTTCGAGTATTATTAAGGAATCTACATATTACATATTTAAACTTACATTTAAATAAAAATAAAAATTTATATTAATAGAAACAAATTCAGTAAAAAATACAGTGACCCTAGATTAATACTAATAAAAACTGAATATAGTGCAATAATATTAATGCATACAAATATTTAAGTATATTTTTTTAATATTTCACAGGATTGTTATAAGTTTGCAGATTTCTTATACTGACAAAATTATCTCCAACATACCCCATCACTGCCCAATACATACATATATTTGTATCTAAAACTTTGTTTTCATTATGAATGCACAAATAAGATGATGTTGGAGTATTCATGATATTCTTTTGTACCACAAACATGGACTGAAATTACAATATCGTTTATTTAAAAAATTTATACACATAAAAATAATTTCGTGCATGTAGTAGTATATAACTGCCTCTTAGAGTTTTCGGTATACTTAATAAGATGAGTATAAACAAAACAAAAATGCAGGTGTCAATTAATCCCTGTATTCATATATTTTTTGAGTAGCACAAAATTAGAAATGTACAGTCAGATAAATGATAGTTATTGTAAAAAAAATTGTTCTAATGAATACTATTATAATATTAGATAGTAACAGTGATGGGAAACTAGTATTTAAAGTTGTATTATTTATAGCGGTCCATGGTGTCTATGGGAAATATGAGTAAAATTTGTACATATGTATCAGTATAATTATGAGAGCAGTTACGAAGTATTTCTGTCATATATAATTACCAGCAGAGAAAAACATCTTAGTTTAACAATAATGTGAAAGAATGAAATACATATATATAAAATAATGTACTTTATAAGTACATTAAAAACTTTGTAATAGAAACCTTATAAATTTTCTTATTTTTCAGGTTTAACATTTCCTTTTATATTTAATATAAAAGAATAAAAAAAAAACACATGTATATAAATTTGAAGTTTAATAATATGTTTTTATATCAAGACTTAGAAGTAATAGTAGCATTTTTATTAATAATCATCATATGTATATATAAATATGTAATTCATTTTCTAAACTAAGATATTTTCACTCTGGATTTTTCTGCAATATAACACTTATATTAAAAAATTGCTTAATGCAATTGATAAGAGTTGTTATTGCTGTGCAAATTATGACATGAAGATTATTATTATTGCTTGTTCAAAGGTGGTTAGTACCAAACGATATAACAAGTTGTATATAATTTAGTAAAGCTTAATATAAAAATAATATAGTACCGCATAATGTCTTAATCAGATAGTTGACAAGACGTTATAAAATGCGTTTATTCTAGCATACATTGTGTACACTAGCTTTAATTTAAAATTTAAGAAAATAGTAAATTTATAAAAACATCATACATGTGCATCTATTATAATGTGCTTGTATTGATTCTTTTGCTTGTAATCACACACATGCCTGTATCTTATATTGAGATAATGGGGTAGGATATAAAATAACCTTTTATTTATCATGCAAACTCTTCGTCTAGATACTAATATTTGACTCGAATATTGTAAAGATATTTAGTATCCAATAGCACTAATGATCGTTTTGTATTATTATATTGTTATGTTCTAATATTATGTGCACATAACTGTGATCAAACATATCATAAAATGAGATTGAATAACGAATGGAATATCTAAAAAAAATATTTTACAAACCATGGAAAATTGGTAGATTGATTTCATTTTTATATAAATAATTGTTTTGATATTTATATTTTCCTAATCTTACTTCAAAATGAAACGAAGGTATATATATATATATGCCTCATTAAAATTAAAACAAATTATTATGTATTATTGACATTTCTGCAATAGAAAATATCCAATGTTCATATTTAAGTTTTAGCTAAGTTTACAAAGTATTGTTAACATTCCAAAAATCACTGCCTTTCTATTGTACTTGCATACAAATATCAGTGGGAATGGAATGCTAGTAACACTTTATAATATTGGCTAAGAGATATGATTAAAAACTAATATTTGCCAATTTGGTTATTATGGAAACGTAGTTATTGTTATTTGTATTGATGTTTATGTAAGAGTAGTCACAAAGTTTTATACTTCAAATTTTGATGTTTATGCTAATGAAGGAATAAGTTAATGTTGCAATTCGTAGTAAACCAAATTATAAATAGGAGGTTAATTGTTTTTAAATTAACATAATGTTTAAAAAAAAGAAAATGGTATAATTTCTTGATTTATTGCAACTTTAAAATTGATATGGTATCTTACTTATAATTAAATATACAAAATATGACAAAAGCAGTAAACGGACAACAGAAAGATAATTAAAAAAGGTAATCAGATATATGCACCGTTGCACATAATAATTTTCTTTTTGTTAAAATAAAGGGTACTAAATTTTTAGTTATATGCTATACTGTTAAAAATATATTTTTTTTTATATGTGATAATACGGGAGATCTTTATTAAAAATTTTTTTTTTTATTTAGATGAGAAGTAGGCCTTAATAGTGCCTTGCATATAGTTACTGCTTTTGAGAATTTTATAGTATCAATATATTTTTACGAAAAGGAAGTGGTGCATTTGAATTTCAAATTTAGATATGAATTTCATTGAGAATAATGCTTAATTCATAACATATCATGATCTTTATAAAGATTATAAAAATCTTTGCAGAGTTTATTATGATTTTTTAATTAATATATTGTATACATATACTATTAACAAGATAAAGATACAAATAATTAAAGAACTATTTTAAAAAAGAGATATGTATAACACAACAAAAGAATTATCTTTCGATTGCTGTTATGTCAAAATGTACAATACCAAAATCAAATATATATAAAAATATTTTGAAATAATATTTTGAAAAATAATCTCTTAGAAAAAAAAAAATATTTAGAACAATTTACTTACATAATTTTACGAAATTAAAGCAAATAAAATAATATTGGTATTGTTCACGTAAAAAAAAATATATATATTACACGATTGTTAAATGCTTTTAGGAAAAATAAAAATGATAGATTTATGAACTTCTTAATGAACATCATGTCTCAAATACAGTTTAAGGTGTTAAGAAAATACAGAAAATAAGACAATATCCTTAAGGAAGATGTAGCATGACGTATTGATGAAAAGCATTTTATTTAATACTTAGCCTTAACTTCCTAAAAAGATTTCATAAAATGAACATTTAAATCTGTTCATAAGTACGTAAACGCAATAAATTCATATATTATCAATATTTTGAAATACAATAATGAACATTTTTCATAGAAAATAATACAAAGCACGATTGTCAATTGCGCTATTGCAATTTCTGTTCTTGATCATAAAAAATATTATATAATAATTTATATATTATATATTTCATTCTCTATAATTATCGACATTACACACTTTCTCATTTCCAAGATTGTTCGTTTACGATAGCTAAGTCAATCAGTAAAGTTCATGTGGTATTAATTGTCATTTCTTAGTCCGTCGATGGTTCGACTAAACAAGAAGAATGATTAGAAAGCCAATTGTATTAGAAAGAGAGAGAATATATAGCACTGTTAATAAATTAAGAATCGTTTTATATAAGAACGATTTCATATTAGAGTATATCAAACTCAATCCATCGATCTGTCGCTGTTCATTGATATAATATGTATATTTATGAAACAGCACTATTGTTACTAAACGATTATATCTCTTACTATTATCGCGAATGTTGGTGTATCGCTAGTATCATTCTTACGTATAACGTTCGACGGACAACTGTAAATACATCTTTTCCTTTTGTATTTTGGATGAAATGTATATTTTAATAAAATATCCAAAGGTACGAATTCTCTTAACACGTAATTTTTATTTCCTATTATTTCTATTATAATTAAACAAAATGTGTGTATATATGTGTATGTGTGTGTATGTATGTATGTATGTATATATGTATATATTTTGGCGTAATCAGTTCTTAGGAATGTACATAATAAACGGTAAATTAACAGATAAGATCAATGTAACGTATTCCTCAATCGATCGTGAATTTACAGTTAAAAATCACAAATTATAAATAACGAACGTTTCATTATTATAATTAACAAAAATATATTTTAACTGCATCTTTTGAAATGATAAGTTTTCTTAGGAGTGTAAAAGGTAAACAACAAATTAACAAAATAGAATCATTGTAAACTACTTTTCGACTGATCACGAACTTATAGTTTGAAATCACAAGTTATCAAAAATATAAACAACTAACATTGAAATTTAACTTACCTCGAAATCTGATAGTAGCTAAATAAATCCAACGTAAGACTTCGTCTAGCCGACATCGAGATTCTCCTAAAAATTATTCACTTATTTAAATAATATATATATATATATAAAAATATATATATATATATATATATACATAAATTATACATAAATTCAGTAATATTATATATTTATTTGAACTCGAGGAATGTATGATATTGAGTCTCCAATACATTGCAACATCGTACCTACATAATGTGCAAAAACTTCGATTAGAATTATTTGTACATTTAAAATTGTTCTTTTGTAATTTTTTATATACATAATCAATTTACAGTATATCGTGGCACACCTAAATTGTCACTCACACATTTTTCTGTTTTTAATCAAATATATTTATTAATCACAGTAATATAACCGTACTAAATTGTATCACTTGAAAATCACGTGATTATGGTGGATTCAATTAATAGCCAATCAGATTTGAGCTGCTGTAAACTGTTAATTGCGCGGCAACATTTTCCATGTAAATCCTAAATGAATATTTTCTCATTTATTGCATACGATCAAATTAACATGTTTTATTAAAAATTTAATATTTAAATCTAGCACTTGAAACGTTACTCAATGATGAACTATTTGAATGAACATATAAAAGTACGCTCCTTGACTCCTCGTGATAGGCTATAATTCCTACATACTTGTACGAAAGAGCTCCTCTGCATAAATATTATTTTTTTTACAAAATCAAAAATTAAGTCTATTGGTCTTCTTTTCATGAATATTACGAAGGTTTATCGAACGAAAATTTATTATCGAATGAAAGATAATAAATCATGATAATCGAGACGGTATAACATTCGTTCATTCGTTTAAATGTTAATTGGTCGTTGATTGAATAAGATACATTTGTAATATTAAAATAGTTTGAAAATAATCTATGAACTTCTAAATGTAAGTTACGAGCTAATATTAATGTAAACAATGAACAGTTCCAAATTTAACTTATTTTTATAGTAGATACTGTGCTCAGCGATACCTTATTACGTCATACGATTCGGCAGTGTAAATATCTCCACTCTCACCAAAAAGATTAAAATCCCATGGATTTTATGGCTATGATTTAAATTAATTCTTTTCCGAATTATTATGCCTAATCAAGTAAACTTGATATTTCGCAATACTTTTCCTACGATATTTGAATATTGATTAAAATTTTATGTATATTTATAATCATACCTTCTGCGATTCTTTATATCAACAAATAACTCACGTCATTAAAAAAAAAAAGAAAAAAGAAAAAGAAACGTTAGAAAAATAAACATAACATATTAGAACAACCTATAACACACAAACTATTTTCTTCAAAAATATATTTTCAAATTATTAGTTATGTTTATCCAAGATACATTTAATAATGGCTCTTAAATCTTTGATATATTTTATAGGTTGGAACATCCAAAAATTTCTCTCATTCAAAATAAAAGATTGAATGTTATTTTTTTCTTTTTAATCTATTAAAAATTCGTTGTACACGACAGCAAATCAAATTTTTATTAATCTTGCTCGTCGTAAAATAATATTTTAATATGCATGCCTTGCACAGAAAAATCATAAAGTAAATGAAATTTTATGATGTAAATAAACAGACATCATTTATCGAAAATTTCACAACATTAAGAAAAAAACTATTCCTTATAATATTTTTCTTCTTTTTTTTTTTATAAAGGATACATTGCCAACATCGCACATTGCATTCTCTTCACATTTATACATTTACAGTACTGTTTATTACAAAGGCATTGTACAAATAAGCAAGACAAATTAAAAATTTAATTATAATATTTGTAATATCTTTAGTAACTGTTATTCTTATATTGCAAGAATTTATCTTACCATTGAGGCGAACCTCTTCAACAATTAAGAGATTAGGTTGATACGCTTATACAGCATTTGTTATGTACAGTCGTGGGTGTACAAAATCTAAGAATCGCGAGCCAGCAATAAAGCAATATCGATTTTAAGAAACTGTTCTTACATTTGTATGTGTATCACTCGTTAAGACGGAAAGATTTTGTTTCTCCTAAGGCAACTGTGCCATTAAAAATTTATGTATATGTACAGAGCTTTTTATTATTCATATGAATTTTGCAATTGGTATAGAATGCACGATACGCACATTTAAGTTTATGACAATCAGTTTATTACAGCTCAGCTATGATCGTATGTGAACAAAAATTATGCTAGAACTGTATTTATGAACATCTGATAACCACTTTTTAATAGCACGATGACAAGATGATAAATATTGATGTGAAAGAAAATGTTATACCTCAAATCATATACTGTACAATTCTACATGATACCATTGTTTGAGCAAGTAATTAAATAAATCCATGTGAATAATCAAAGAACATAGTAGGTAATGTGTGGAGTAGGCAGATATCAAGCTGGCTTAATTAAGTGTCACAGTCTTCGAGTTGCCTTTGTTGTTATTAACAGGTATGAACTGTTACCAACGCACCATATTTTCCGCACTGTCCTGTGTAAATTGCTAGCTGCTTGATGTTCATAGTCTAGACAATAATTTCCTGATGATACCCTATGTACCGCATCAAATAATTATTTTGCAACGTACATCTTTGCATACTTTTCTTGAAATATAATGCAAAGAGGAACGTGATATTTTCCATTTCGAAGCTAAGAGGATCGTGTTTTTGTCAAATCAGGGATTTAATAGTCATCCAGATCGAAACTATCAATTTCAATGTCTTCCAGCTGCATACTTTGAAAGTCCACTTTGTAACGTAGAATACCTGCAAAACAACATATGAATGTTTATCATTAAATAAATAATATAATAATAATATTAATGCATAAATATCTGTACAAAATAAAAAATTGTTTATAGTTTATTCTAATATATCATGTTTTTATTTTAACTCAAATTTATATTGTTATATCAGTGCTTTTGTAAAGTTCTATGATATTAACAGAATACTAATTCCATTTGATATCAAAGAAATATTCAAATTAGAAAAACATTGTTTCAATGACAATAATAATTTAAAACCATTAACATGAAAAAAAGAAAATGAAAAAAATAAATTATATATATAAAATTTATTTATTTATTATTATAATGTGTAAAATAAATATTTGTAGAAATTAAAAATTTAATATATTCACAATAATTATATAAATTAACATTCTAATATCTTATATGAATGTTATACATAATGTAATGGATTGTTTTGCTTCAATAATAAATATCATTCAAATGTATAATTTAAAATTTGTAATAATTAGCATTATAAGTGACTATTGTGCTTGACTGCTTCTAATAGCTGCTAAAAGGGATTTCTACAATAAATTAAATATTTTAATATCTTTAAAAAGAATTTTTATATTTTGCTACTTCATGATCTATAATACTCCTACATTGTAATAATACAAAACATTCCCTGCATACAATGTATAACATTCTAAAATAGTAAAGATTAAAAATAAATAATTATTTTACTCTTCTCTTGTTACTAGTCTTTATAAAAAGCAAGTACTGTACCTTTCCCAGTATGCGAGCTAACAGAAACAAGACTTTAATTAGTACTTCTCAAAGAGAGTAGCTCTGTTAAGCATTGTGAAAATATTACTATTGTTTATAATCTATGTCCATTGCCAAAGTATTAGAATGAATAGGAATTTAAGTTACTGATTAAATAAGTATTATTAACAAAAAAAATATAATACAAAAAATTTTATGATTAGTTTAATACAAATGATCTATTAAATTCAAATAAGATAAAAAACAAATTATGATAATTTCAACAATTTCATATCTTTCTTAGAAAACTGTTATAACTCATATTTTGTCATTTCAAGCAATTTTAGTCCAATAAATCTAAAAACTATTTAAGTACAAAGTATTAAATAAATTAATAAAAATAACACCATTACTGTAACTTTGGTGATGGATTTAATCTAAAATTGCTTATAGCGTAACATGCAACAAGCGGTACTTAATAATTTATGCATTACTTAATATTTAATTCATAAGATATATTTATATATCTTATTATTTGTGAAAAAAAATACCAAAATATGACGTACGATAGTGTAAATAAATACAACAAATTATTTTCTTAATTTTTATATGAAATAAAATAAATACAATCAATTAAACTTGAATATAATTTGGAATCTCCAAATATCATAATATTCACAATATATATCGTGCGAGATATAAAACAAAATAAATCAAGCAAAAATATATTATGATAGTAAGTATAATAAAGCTAATATTTGTATATATTAAGCATCAAATAGTAGTTATAGCAAGATAGTGCAAAAGCAACATTTTCTAAACAAAATAAAAGAACAAATATTCACACATTTTTCTAAAGGAATATATAGAAATATAAAATAAGAAAAAGTGTATAAAATAATAAAATATGTGTAATATTTGAGTGTGCTTTTAATAAAATTTATCTAAAATTTGCCACTGGTATTCTAACGTAACTTCTCATTTATAAAAATAAAAACTAGTAAAAAAAGAAAATAAAAACTTGTTTAATTTTTTTATAATCATGGTGATTGCTAAAAAGACTTAGAATGTAAAATATATTTGCACAACATTCTTAAATATAGGATAATATTAACAAAGAAGCTTCATATCTCAACCAGAATATATAAAACCTTTATTTATTTAAAACAAGTGACTTACACACTTGTAATAGTCACTGGCTTTTTTTATAAAAATGCCAAGGATGCATTCTAAATCTAGATTATATTGTAAGAAAACCAGTAGTTAATAATTATTAGTACAATTACAATTATTGTTCCCCTAAGGATTACAGGGATAATAATCATTAGTAAAGTTAGTATATTCATTATTCATATGAGTTCACTAATTTTCCTTTAAATAATCAGACTTTAGTTAGAGTAGCTTTCCTTTTTTTGAATTCATATTGTGTCATTAAAACAGGCTTTTTTTAGTATAATAAAAGTGTAAACAAGCATTAAAATGATTTTACACTTTGTGTATCTTACAGATTAGGAAATTGCAACAATTACAAGATTATGACTATTATATGATTTACTTGAGAGTTGTTATACTATAGCATAAATATTAATCCATCACTTTTTATAGATCTAATCTCAGATTTTTTTAAACTCTTTAATATTGACCTCTTATTATAATGAAAGCCAATATCTAGGTTGTAACTTCATGATATCGCAGACGTTCTTTTTTTGTACTGTAAAGATGCATTAAATTCTTTCTTTATAAATTCATTCAAAAAATATATCTATGCAGTGCAATTATTATATATTAGAAATTAAAACTATGTTCAGTTTAAATTGATTTTTTTCTTGTGCAATTATACAACAAAAAGATTTTCATTTATGTTCTATAGAAATAATATACTATTTGTATATTCTTTATCTAACAAATATATATTTTTGTGATAGTGAAATAATTTTACTAAATTTGCAATCACCGCTTAATATAACTCTAATTATGTAGTATGTATTTGCATACATAAATATTTAACATGACAAAAAATGAATTACACTTAATAGAATCTTATCAATCTGGAAACTATTAGATATTTGCTACAACATGAGTTTAAATACTCCCAATATACATGCACATACATCTAAAAAATAGTTTTCTTTCTTTCTTTTCCTTTTTATTTTTTTTCTTTTTTATCTTTTTTTTTTTTTTTTTTTTTTTTTTTTTTTTTTTTTTTTTTTAATATTGACAAATCAGTTTTCTCATGTACATTGCTTCCTACATGTGCAACATAAAAAAATTAAATATTTTAAAACCCTTGTGTGGTCATTTGATAATGCATTCATTAAACAATTTTCCAACATGTCATATTGGCCTACTTTATTATAATTACTTGCCAATATAATATTAATATAAACAAATATAACTTGTGAACTAAAAGGAATATTAACCACTAACAAATACATATTTCCATGTTGAAAAAACAGTCTGCTAATATATAGTAATAAAACGTAAAAGTCTCTTTCATTACTAAATTTCTCATCAAAAACTGAATAAGAATATATACAAAAAATACACCTTACTACATGTAAAATTCTTTGCTATTACTCAATGTCATATAAATATAATGGTCTAAATTCAAAATATTTCGTAAAAGATTATATAGCCCCTATTTTACATTTCTATTCACCCTCTAATGAAAACCATTACGCAAAAAAGCATCTTTAAAATTCGGTAACATCTCTGAATGCACATCTTTATCTTTGAATTTTGTGTATTTAATGGTTTCACTATCACATTCAAAATCATTGCAAGAGACATCTATGTACTACTTTTGTACAGAAGAATCAAAACTAAACTATTTAGTGAGAAACTCAATAAAAATAACTGTAAACATTCTGGACAAATTTACTATATAAAAATCAGGAGCATGCAATATAAATATATCTTTCTAGTTATCATGTATATAAAATTTTACTATAACGTACAAAAATGCATATTTTATATTTTAATTTATCTGGTATAATTATTAAAATAATAATTAAAGTTAAATAATTTTTGTTAATGTCAATGTTGAAATGATCAAGAGAGAATAATATAGACAAATCTTTTTAAATACTGCAATACCAATGAAAATGATGTTTGTACTATTTTGACAATGATTATAGTTGAATGACGAGTATCAAAAAATTGACACTAATTTCTCAATTTTGAAAGAATATAAAAGAACATATAATTTAAACTATGTATCTGATTAACATTAACATTTTGATAAATTTGTCCAGTTTTCTAAATAATAATCTATAATACACAAAGTGTACATGAATGCACTCAAGACAGAGAAACAGCTACCTGGTTGACTTTGAGTATCTCACGGATGAAATTAGTAATCATCGAGGTCAACATCATCAAGAGGCTCATCGGCCTGCAGTGACTGGAAGTCAACTTTGTAGCGGAGGATTCCTATACACGAACATATACTCTATAGTTAACATCAATGCACCTCATTTCATTACCTTGCCATTTCTTTAAAATTTTTGCTGACAGTGATATCAAGACGATTTATAAAAATTAAGTTTACTTCTTATAAAAAATATTAAATTTGTAATGCCATTTGTTATAATAAATGCTAATTAGTAAATACACCTTATCCAAATATGTTAATGATCATAGTGTTTAAAAATACTATTAACACATTACATTCAAAATAAAGTAATTAGTTATAATTTGTTTATATGTACACACAACCTTTTTTTATATTTACGTTAAAAAATAAGATATGAAGCCATGAAAGATTAGTAATACAAATAATTTTGCATAATTTATATAAATACATAAATTGCTTAAAAAAATAAAGATTAAAAAATTTATTATATTTACAAAAAACTTACCTCCAATTCCACCAAACCCTCTGACAAATTGTGATCCTTCCTGTGACTTGTCTGTAATAATTTCCAAGGTGGCACCAAAGCTTTTATAATTATTCGCAAGCCATTCAAGTAGCGGTTGACATTCCACAAGTTCCAATTCTACTCCGCTCTGAAAATTACATATTTATTTGCTACATTTTTTAATCTTTATATAAGTATATTTATAAACTTAATTTTAATTTCATTAATAGTTACACTTAAAGGACTTAAACTATACCTCTTTATCGGTAAAATGAGTTTTGTCTTTTTCTTGTTCTGGTGTCAAGTGTAATACTTTCTCTTCTGCATTTGTATGATTTTTTAAAACATATCGTTGAATATCTAAATTCTCCCAACAAATTAACGTTTCTACACTACCTAATTCCAAAGCTCTTAATGTATCTTCTACACCAAAACAATATTTTCCAGTATCTTGAGAAATTTCATCAAAATAACGACCTAATAATAAAAATTACAATATCGTAATAAGTAATATATACATTGTAAGAAGAAAGAATAAATAATTATATTCTTACCAATGAGTTTTTTTTCTTGAATGAATTTTACATTTTGCAAAGATTCAGCCGCTAATTCAATGGCCTGATTGAAACCATTTTCTCCTCCATACGACACATCAACTAATTTTATAACTTTTGCTTGCAATCTCTAAAATAATAAGATGATAACAAAACTAAAATAATATAAACACAATACCTTTCTTTTTTAAATGTATCAACGTTATATATAGTTTTATAAATGAATTTTGTTTAAATATTTACTTACAGGATCAAACATATCTGATTGACTAAGTTCTGTTTTGAAATCTGCACTTCCTGCTAATATCAATCCAGCAATATTAGGCTTGTCATTGGTAATATAAAGTTGTGTAGCTACTTCAGCTACTTTTCGGACGTAATTATGTCGTTTTTCCATACGTAACCGAGCAAAACGAAGAGCTGACTGACCTCCTCTACCTAAAATCAAATTTACAATAACATACATTATAAATAAGATTAATAACATAAAATTATTAATCTTTAATTTCTTGTACCCTTTAATGTCTTTAAAAACTTACCATGTTTTTTAGGGAGGTCAACAGTAAATTTATGTAAAACTTCACGCGTATTTCCTTGAAGAGTACCAAATAAAGCCCCATTACCATCCATAACAATAAATCCAAATTTATTATCATCCGCTAATAATGCAGTAAGGGCTTCTGTATGAAACTAAAACCAATTAACACTTAAGTATTTTTATATTAAAAATATAACCTATGCAAATTTATAAGATTACATATACATTTAAGTCTAAATTTGGTACTTATTATGCAACTGTAAAAGTAGTATTATATGTACCTTATTATCACAAAGATATAAAGAAGTATTAATAGGTTTAAATGGTTCAAAATCAATATTGACTTTTTTTTCTTTGCCTTCTTCGGTGACAATAGTACCACAGTATATTACCAGGCCATTTGGAGGCACTAAAATAAATAATTATTCAAAAAATATTAGAAAAAATATAAAGGTTACACACACTGTTTGTTCATATTTTTTAAATATTATTTAAATATTAGATATATATGTGCAAAACATTACAAATATAATTAAATTAAATTTTATAACTAAAAAATATTTCTATAAGTAAAAAAAATGATTACCTTTGGTATATAATTTTAACCTATGTTGTACAGATGTAATTGCACCCAAAACCGATAATCTATTTACACGGGACTTAATATTAGACGCAGTTCCAAATTCATCGGCTAACATCTTGCTTACTCTCGATATTTGGTCTTTAGGGGGTATAATTAATGAAATCATACTGGTACCATTCCTACAAAAATACTTTCATTATTTTATTATCTTATATTATAAATAATTAAAAGAGAATAGAAGCTTTAACCATAAATTAATTCTATTATATGCATATATTAAGAAATAATATAAATATTTCAAAAAAAAAAAAAAAATAAAACTTAGAAAGTAATAAACTAAAAGTTATAATAATGAAAAAATCAAACAATATGTTTGCTTTGACACAGATTTTGTTAAATATCTTTATTTCTTTAGTAACATTGTTTCAAGAACCATCACTAAAAAAGTTTATGCAAGAACATTAAACAATAGTTTATCAGGCTCCTAATACCATAGGATATGCTCCAACTTTGGAAAGCATAAAACTATTTAAAATAATATATTCTAATACTTTCTCAATCCAGTTTACATACATATCATTTTCTATTGAAACCATATGTCAGAATATAAAATAAAATAGCCAACGACATTTAAAAGAACAAAATTACCGCCGACCTACTTACCCTCTAGCCATTTCGAGACTCTTTATGAGTTTCTTTATTTTCCAGATTTCGACATTGCGGTCGGCGGAAGTTTCCTCGTTGGACATTGCTGTACGTAGAGTCGCGTGGTCGCGGCTTCTGAGATCTTCGTCGGATTTAATACGTGTCGGCAGATTTATCGAGGAAGTTAGTTGGAAAGATTAAAGTGGCCCGCGTCCTCGCGAAAACCGGGTACCACAGGTTCGCTTCTGAAACGTATGGCCAATTCATTTACCGACGTTTCTGCTTTGATCCAGTTCATACCAGATTATGTCAGAGAACGTGCTCAACATAACGTGTACACGCTGTACTTGAATACGTCTTAAGTCGAAATATACACCGCACGATGGACTCACTTTGTGTGTATGTTCCTTTTTAGAATCGTCTTGCCACGTGCAATTCTTCTTTAACGTCTATACCTGCTGTACGGCAAATACCACGCGACGATAGATTTCGAAATGCACACGTCGGCCATGCGACACCGCAGCGGGACGTCAGTACTTCTCTTTCCTTCCACAACTTTCTTTCTTCCACTTCTTCCTCACAACGTAAAGCTATATTTTCTCGACTAGCAGGATTCCTGACGTTTTTCAGACCCTTTATGTCCTTAATCCCGCTATTAAATGAACGTTCTGTCTAAAAAACGTGTTAATGGACCCAGATCAAATTAAAATAGGACCCAAAAACGTCAGTACTTCATTAGACGTATGTACTGCACGTTACAAAATGGGAAGCAAAGACTGGAAGCTATATGCGCGAACGGTGCTCCAAGACTTTCATCGCGCATAGAGACGCAGATATAATTGTAGGCGGCCCAAAGCTCGATCGAATGAACGGTTTCAACGAGTTTTGAATGAACCAATAGAATGATCGATATAAAGCGAAAAAAGATTTGCACCAATCACAAGACAAGATCCAATAAACTATTCCTTCCGATACTTGACACATTAACCAATCATGAATAAAAATAAACCACTAGCTTAGTATTAAACTATATAGCGTAAATTGGACCGCATTAGCGTACCTATCGCCAATGAGATTATACTTATAATCGGATTTTGCTATTAGAGTTGTCTGTCTTTGAAACGTCACAAACTTTGCTTCTTTTTAAACATTCTTCTGTTTCGCGGGAAAAGTTGAGACAAATATGCGCGCGCAAGTATGGTATATATATATTTTTTTACTTTTTACTTTCTAAAAATTATTAGATGAAAAATCAATCTACACAATTTACAGTGATTTATTCCTATGAATAATTAATGAGGAAATAGCTGTAAGTATAATCGTGTAATTACATTTATATGTCACAATTGTACATATATTTTTATTCAATAATATCTTTGAATTAAACAATATATTATTTAATTATTAATTACTTAATATAATAATTACTTATTATATTATTTTAATATGTGAATATATACAATACATACAAGTAAGATTAAAAAGGTCGTGGATTATTTACATCCATCATACACGCCATTTAATAACATCAAAGAACTATAATCTCTTAAAATGTAACATCCTCTCATGGTAAAAATAGTAGATAACTCACTTAATTATCATTCAACGATTGTCTTCTACATATTTCTCTTTTATAATTCTTTTTTATAGTATTATGAAAATGAATGCAAATGGTACATAGCCATATCTTAAATAGAAAATTAGTTATAAAATAAATAAATAAATAAATAAAAAATATTTGTGAAGAAAGCATTAATTGTACATTTTTGAATGTAAAATAAATTAAATAATTACAAAAAAAGCTGCATAACAGAAATGATTTTGTTTCTATTGTTGTATGTCTATATATTAATTCAATTCAATTATGTTTGCAGTTATGTTTCGTATAGTTCATGAATTTATATATTTGATTATAAAAGTTATTAAGCTACCATAGGAACAATTAATAACATAACATGCAACATATTTTACATTCAGAATGATTTCATATTGAGATGAGAAAGTTATGTTGTAACAACATTTAGTCTTATATATCGATTTGATATAGTAATGTAGTTTAGACCTGTGAGTATTCTAAAGTAGCAACAAATGTAACGTTTTTTAATCATTGATGTATCGAGTAAATTCAGTTTGCAGAATCATGCTGCATTACTATGATCAACAATGATATGACACATTTAAAGGAATATTTAATAATGAACATGTTGTAATATTTTGTTGATATTGCAAATCAATTTCATACTTTCCCTAGTTTTGAGTATTGACAGATAACATGATGACTTTGAACATTAAACATTTCTTTTAATTTTAGTAATTCGTTTTTAATGGGTCGTTAAAGATTCAACAGAGAGTGTAACCGATGCTGTGTGACGAAATCTTTGTGAAATATGTCCAGGAGTAGATGGTACTTCCTCAATCCTTTCTAAATCATTTGCTGCTCCTGCACTATTTTGTTTAAAAAGTCGTTGAATTGTTCTCTGATTTGTTGGCTCTTGAATGGCAATAGATACAGGCTCGTCACCTCTGTCTAAACTAAATTGCCTTTTCAACAACCGACCACTAGAACTTCTGTCTGAAATTGTTAATATTTTTAGTAAATATTTTAATTAAATCGATAGATCAAACATTATGAACATAAATGTATAATATACTTACTGTGTTCGTTAGGAGAAAGACATCTGTAGCGATTATATGGTGTACTAAGATCGTTCTCATCGATACCACCGACGAGCCTTCTATGTTTACTCGCTGCAGCTGATCGAAAAGATAAAGCAACAGAGCTAGCAATTGATGTCAAAGAAGTAGTTGAAGCGCCTAAGATTGTCGCAGTTGTTTCTGTATCGGATACTGCTAATATATTACTTGAAATTTGTGTATCACTGGATGTACTTTTTTTAATAGTTATATCGTTAAATTCAGCCGGTTTTTGATTCATACGTTCATTTTTCAACATTTCAAATAGATCTTCCGTTGATTTTAATGAATTACTCTTTTCAAGTGTTTTTTCATCATGTACAGATACATTAACTTTCTTTGTTTCTGACGTTTCAAATGAAGAGGCGTTCGAAGAATTCCCTTCAACTATTTTCACATTACCATTGTCTTTTCCTTTCTCATTGATATTGTCTTCATCATCTTCTTCATCGTGAATGCTATAATTTCTATTATTTGCGAGTAATGTGCGTCGTAGATGTTTTGATTCTGCTTGCCCATCATTCAATGGGTTCTTTACTACTAGACTGTCATCCAATCTTTTGAAATATGGATTAATATTATTTTTATTTTTAATATGTATTCAATATGTTTCTAATATCCATAATCTAATAAATTCAAACGATCAAAGATCTAAGAAATGTAATACACAATTAACTTACCCATGATCCTCTCTTTTGATAGCATGGAAGTAGATAAATTATCAAAAAACTGGAAAGTAAATTATTAAAAAAAAAAAAAAAAAAAAAAATGAGATAAAGAATTGATATTAAAATCTATTAGTAATACTGATGCATTTATAATTTATCATTACGATCGATAATTATATTTATATTATGAAAAAACAAAAAAGTACCCGAAAGGTGGAGGTGTTGGCAGTTTCTTGTCAAAGCCTTCCTTCCCCAGTAACCAATAAGTCGGCATTTTTCCTTTTCCTTTAACATCTGTAGTACCACGATATTCAATATTATATCCACCAGCTTGCGTTAATCGATCTTTCGTTGCTTGACTAATGTGTATACGCCATGGTGCACCCGTTGATTCCATTCTCGATGCAGTATTTACAGTATCACCGAATAAGCAATAACGTGGCATTGTTAAACCGACAACTCCAGCGCAGCAAGGACCTATAGAACAATTAAACATAGTATTAGTGTTGGTATATTAAATAAAATAAATTGATATCTGATTAATGAATATACAAAATAGAAATCTGAGTATACTTAACCGGTATGAAGACCGATTCTTAATTTTAATTGCATCTGTGGCAGATGCCTTATTTTAAACCTTCCACTTTGATGTAACAAATCAAGTGCCATGGTAGCCACTTGAGTGGCATGATCAGGAATCCTAACTGGACATCCTCCAACTACCATATAAGCATCTCCTATGGTTTCCACCTAAAGTAGTAATTATTTTAATATTTTAATAAATAGAAAAAAAAAGTGAATTTGTAAAGAATAAAGTATATATTATTAAATAATATTATTTTTATGCTCGTCCTTACCTTATAGACAGCATATGCATTAATGGTTGCATCAAAACATGTATACAGATCGTTAAGTAAATCTACTACTTGAAAAGGTGTTGAATGAGCGGAGATTGTCGTGAAACCTACAATATCCGAAAAGTAGATGGTGACTTCGCGAAATTCTTCAGGGTCAACGGGGATGCCCAATTTCAATTTTTCCGCCACCGAGCTGGGAATTATTAGTTTCTTAGTTCTTAAATATTTATATGAAAATCTTTAGAAAACTCACTTTGGTAACATCCGATTTAACAGCTGTTCCGTCTTTTTTTTCTCCATATCGAGTTGTTCCGTACGTTCACGTATCAATTCTTCCAAATTATTTGAATACTTTTCCAACAATTGGAACATAGTATCAATGAAATTTACTTTCCTGTGAGAAAAGAAAAAGAAAACAAGAACATCATATTTGATTTTAAATTAAAAATTGAAAAAAAAAATTATTATTTTTAATTTCTTAATCTCACCTGCCATAATTTAGTTTCTTGAATAAATCATGGACACAGTTAAAATCAGGTCTCATGTCCGGAGATTCGGCCCAACATTGTCGCATTATATTAATAGCTTCTGGTGGTGCTGCACCTTTACTAACGGATGGCCTAATCAATGGTGGTGGACTCATCACTTTCTCTATTATATCTATACCGTAACAAGTAAATGCATTTCATGTTAGAATCGTACGAAGATTTTAAAATAATATATTATTTTTATAGGTCTTTTACCTTCGGGAGATAAAGCTAACATACAAAATGGTTCGCCGCGTACAATGACCTCTTGCATGATGATACCAAAACTATAAACATCACCTGGTTGAGTACCTTTCTTTCGAAGATTCACATCTCTAAGTAATTCTGGTGCTGTCCACAAAAGATCTGCCAAGTAAAATGAATGAAATAAAATGAAAATATTGATTAAATTTAATAATAATGACATTTAAATAATAATACGTAAATAAAAAAATAATAATGCTTTATATTACCGCGAGATAATTTTGAAGGTGATGACATGTTTTGAGCTTCGTAAAATGCTGGAAGGCCATAATCAGTAATCTTAAGGACCCAACGCGCATCGATTACACAGTTCCGTGATGTAAGGTAACCGTGAACCCTAATCGGTGTACCGTGAAGATATCTCATACCCTTAAACAAATTTAATGCTACATTTAATCTTTACTTAACTTCGTAATGTGATATTAATATAAAAATAAAGTGATTGTTATTTTTATTCGATCCCCTTTCAATTAATTTCATCGTGTTGATGCATTTTTGATAATCGTTATTAGGATTATCGAATGACTTATCTATAATAAAGTTACTCGTTTAATTAATCTTTAAAATGATTAGTATTTTTTTTTATATCAGTAATCACTTTCTTGTTATTTGAATCGGAGTATCATTGTAATGCGTTTATGTGTATTGTAATATATGTTTTACATTCTACGACATAAAAAGTTAAAAACGAATTTTTTTTTTTTTTTTTTTTTTAGACAAATCGATATGGACAGCAATCATCCTTAGCTTATATTAAATTTACCCGCACTAAGTCCGTAAGTAAGGACAATC